AGTTTCCTGCCTCTGCTGCCACCTCCCCTAGCCACAAAGCACTCCTACCCCATGTGGGTCTGAACCCCTCCAATAGTCCTGGCTGTGAATGCAGGGGGCCTGGTGGGCACAGTTGCTGTGGCCATGACTGTGGCCCCTCCAGGTAGCCTTGAACCTTGGTACTATTGCTCCCGGAACGCGGCTGGTGGGCGGCTGGGGCAGGATCCTCCACACCACTCTGACCCAGGGCTCAGGCTGGGTTCCACGCCAGGTTCCAGGGGTGGCTAGCAGGGCAAGCCTGTGCTAGCCCGGAACCCGTTCAGCAGGTGCCAGTGTGCCTTGGGGCAAGGTGTCACAGACATACTTTTCAGAGAAGTCCAGATGAGGCTGTGTGGTGTGCCCGTGGCCTTGGGATGTGAAGGTCCTGAGAGGTGCCAGTGTGCCTGTGCCCAAGAGCTGTGCACAGCTGGCCATCTTCGACCCGGTCCAGGGCCTTGGGACTCTGCAGAACCAGACTGGGCTTCAGGATTGTCCACTCCCAGCCCCTCCCCTGCCTGGCTGCCTGTTGGGGCTCATGCCATGAGCAGAAGCAAGACAGTACGGGAGGGGAGGCTGGGCAGTGGGGACCCCCAGAACTGGAACCTGTGGGCCACGCAGTGGACCGGGATGTTGGACCAGCTTGGACATCCATCTGCTGGGGAGCAGGGGGAGCTCAGCCACCCCATGAGTAGTTACTTCTGTCTCTGACCTGGGCTTGGGGGGACCTGGTAGAGACCCCAGCCTCATAGGTGGCTGCTTCAAGGCACAAATCCAGCAACAACAGCACTTTAGAGCCCAGTCAACCTCTGGGGACAGTGTGGTGTGGTGTCCAGTGGGTGGCATTAGGGCTGGTGCTTGGGCCATCAAATGGCAGTGGGGTTAGAGCCTAGAGAGGGCCGAGCAGGGACCTGGGAAGCCCAGGGCCTATGGTGGCCCCACTGCAGAGTGCACACACACAGACTGCTCACTGAAGGCCCTGGATGGACCCCCTGCCCCTCTGAACCGGCTACCGGGTCACCTCCTGGGCTCCGTAAGCAACAGCACTGCGCAGTGGCAGCGCACTGGGGCTGGCCACCCCTGCTGACCACAGACGTGCTCACCGGTCACCCTGAATGCTGCTGCCCACACCCTCAGACAGATGACAGCCTTAAGGGATGAAGCAGGAGATTCCAGCAGTGGCGGGACAGCGGGACTCAATCTGGTCTCCCCAGAAGTTCCCTCAAGGTCACAGAGTGAGTCCTGAAGAGTTGAATCCAAGCTGCAGCTCTGCATGGCCAGCAGGGCCCGGCGGAGGACTGCGGTGGCTCTGGGACATTGCTGGGACTTCAGAGAAAGTGTTTTTAAGGACTGGGGGGACACAGGTTCCTTCCCCAGGCTCTTGGCATCTGAGGCTATGGCAGGAATGGACACAGAATGATGGGGCTGGCAGCAGACGAGGGGGCAGGTGCCTGGCTGGGTGGGTGCTGGCTCAGGGGCCACCCTCCCTGGGTCCACACAGGCCCAGGCAGCCGGACAGTCTCTCCACAATTCTGTAGGCTGTTGCAAGCCTCCTCTTCCTCTGCCTCCTCCTCCTTGGCCTACCTCCCCTTCTACCATCCCCCACCCACTTCCCGATTTTCCGGCCTTTCATCTTGATTTCGAAACAGACAGACAGAACTGCATTTCCGAGCTGAGCTCACCTCCCTCTTTCTGGCACTTCCTCTGGCATCAGATCCCTGCCTGCCCTGCTCTGCCTGTACGTCCATCGTCTGTGTGCAGAGTGGGTGCCTGCGTCTCTGGACAGCACTGGCGGTCCGGCTCAGGGACCTTTGCCCACTCAGGCCCCACCCCAGGGCTTGTTCTGTGGCTCCCGCGGCTCCTTCTCTCACCCCCCAATTCAGGAAAGCAGCCCCACTGTGCGCCTGGCCTTGCCCTTCGGCTGGTGCTCTTAAGGCTCTGGGCAGGTCTGTACCTGGGGACAGCAGGAGTCCTAGTGGACAGGATCCCCAGCTGGAGCCGTGGTGTCCAGGGGAGCAGAGTCTCAGGCTGCACACCCCAGTCTCAGGCACCTCAAGGCTTGAGCCTGAAGCTCTGTCCTAATAGAACACTGTGATCTGTGCTAGGTCGACTGGGAATCGAAGGCCCAAGGACAGTCACCCTGCACTCTAAGGTGGATTTAGCCTACAGCCCACCTGAGGCAGAGCCACCCTGTCCCCTGTCCCTGCCAAGATCAGGATCACCTCCCTGCCTGTCATGTCCCCACCCCAAGTGCCCTGCATGCCCAAGGTGTCTCTCCCATGTCCTCACATCTCCTGTTGTTTCTTGGCATTCTGACATGAGCCCTCAGTGCTCAGTGCTCCTGGGAGGAGGGAAGGGTGACAGTGGCTGGGGCCTCACGGGTTGTGCTTGCCGCCCTCTTTCGCAGCTTCTGTGCCGTGGGAAAGGACGCACAACAGTTTCTTCTGCTGGTCATTTACACACCCAGTTCAGTGACACTAAGCGCATTCAAAAGGCTGCACAAAGCTGGACATGGTGGCACATGCCTTTTATGCCCAGGACGAGTGTTATGAGCTCTAAATCAGCCTAGGCTACAAAGTGGGCTCAAGGCCAGCCTGAACTGCAGAATGACACTCTGTCTCAAGGGAAAAAAAAAAAAGACCCAAAAAAGGGGGATCTTTTCCCTCTCCCTGATCCATGTTCTGTCCTGTGCTGCTCTGAATCCTCCCTTCTTCTCTGCTCCAACATGGGACGGCTGAAGGGAGTGAGCACTTGTCCCAGTGACCTACACTTCCTCCGGTTTACCCGGATGACTCCATAATCAGGATTTCCTTCCTTCGTGCCGTGTTTCCCACACATGGACATGTGGGGTCTTCCACCTGCTGGGTCCTGTGGAAGTGCTGCTGTGTGCAGGGTGTGTGCGGGCGTCCTTTTTTTTGGGGGGGGGATTGAACTCAGGCCCTTGCTTATTCTTCTGAGCCATCTCCCGGCCCCTATGTCTGGGATTTTGGTGAAGGACCACCCTGTTTTCAATAGCAGCTGCATAGCACCTGCGGTTCCAGGTTCTCCGTATTTTGATTCTGCTTATTTTCTTTTTCCTTCCATTTTCTTTCTTCAGTACTGGAGACTGAACCCAGGAATTGATTGCTGAGGTACACCCTTAGCCCTTTCTGCTTTTGAGGCTTGCTATGTCGCCCACACTGCCCTTGAATTTACAGTCCTCCTGCCTCAGTCTCCAGAGCAAGTGGGCTAACAGCTTCGCACCACTCTGCCCTGGTTTGTGCTAGGCGCATCCTAACAGGGTGAAACGATGTCCCATCGCAGTCCTGCATTTTCCTACCAGTGAGGAAGCCTGCACAGCCTTCAGTGCTTTCCTGGCCGTTGTGTCTTCCTTGTAGAAATAGTTGTGCAAGTCCTGTGCAGGGTTTAATTGTGTTTTTGTTGCTGTTGAGTTTTAGGCGTGTTCTGAACACAAATATCTTGCCAGAGACATAATTAGCAAGTATTTCACACTCCTCCACAGGTTGTCTTTGTATCCTGTTCCTGCTGTTCTGCATACACTTTTTTTTTTTTGAGACCAGGTCTCACTATGCATTTCAGGCTGGCCTGGAACTTACAGCGATCCTCCCTCCTCAGTCTCCTGAGTGCCGAGACTACAGGTGTGCACCACCACACCCGACCAGGACACACGGCACTTGAAACTCTCCTCATTAACTCAGTTCTTACAGAAAGGGAACAAATACACAGCCACTGTGGGCTGAAGGTGTGTGAAGGACAGCGTCGTCGCAGCTGCAGGACAATGTCTTTGCACGGGTCACAGGATGGGAGAAGTTCAGTTCTCAGTGGCCATTCTTGTGCTTGTCACTGTTTAAAGGACACAAGTGACATCACAAATACAGCTGCCACCTGAGATGGCTCCCCAGAAGTCCAGCATTACCAGCAAGAGGTTCTGTCTCACATGACCCTAATGTCCAGTAAGATGGTGACAGAGCCCATAAATGTCACAGGCAGGGTGGAAACTGGCGCCCCTCACTGCCCAGCACAATAGCAACCTCAGCTTCTGGGGCTCCTGGCTGGTGAGGGGCTGGGTGACTCCCCACAGGGGAGGCCTGACCATGGTCCTGTGCTGTCCCCTGCACAGTGTAACTCCGGCTCGGTCGTTACATTGTCTGACTACACAGGTACTATCCACTGTGACACAGCAGCACCAAGTCCCCGGTGGCCGCCTGGACACACATCCTGCTCCAACCCCACCTGGAGCCAAAGTTCTGCTTGTTGGAGGTCATGGGCCATGGCTGTTCTTGGCACAGGCCTCTCCAGCAGGGCCTGTCCCCAGGTAGCCTCTAGCTCGGTGTGTGACGTGTGCCTGCTTCTCCCCACAGGAGCCTTCATGATCCCCTTCCTCATCCTGCTGGTCCTGGAGGGCATCCCCTTGCTGTACCTGGAGTTCGCGATTGGCCAGCGGCTGCGGAAGGGAAGTGTGGGCGTGTGGAGCTCCATCCACCCTGCTCTGAAAGGCATAGGTGTGTGCCCCAGATCCCTGGCCTCCAGGATGTTCCTGGGCAGGAGGACCCAGGCCAGCCCCTCTGCAGGCCTCAGAATCCTTAGAGCCCACATCTTGGCTGTGTTGCCCTGGTCACCAGATCCTAGTCAGGGCACCATGGCCCTGATTGCCCACAACCCTACAGGGCAGGAGGGTGGCACCCATGGAGAGGAACAGAAGGACTGACCCACAGCACACAGCAAGCTCCACAGGGACCCAGGGCCAGAAGGGGGCGCTGGTTGCCCACTCTCGGTCTGCTTTCCACCTCACACCAGCTCCAAGCCTCAGCCCTGAGCCCAGCCCCAGGGCTGGTCACTCATTCACCCACTCCTACCAGAGTGGCACCGTGTGGCCTCACCAAGGACACCATGGCTCACAGAGGCCCCAAAACCCGGGCAGGCAGAAAAGAGAAGGAACTAGGGCAAAGGGCAGGGTCCAGGGCCAGGTGCCCAGCACAGGGCCTGCCCTATTCATAGCCTCCCTGCTGCAGGCCCAGCTCACAGCCTCCACTCCTGTCCCCCTCTGCCCCTCTTTGCCACACCTCCTGCCTCTCCTTTCTCTCTCTCTCTCTCTCTCTCTCTCTCTCTCTCTCTCTCTCTCTCTTAAATGTATTTAGTACAGGGTCTACAGGGTCTCACTACACAGATCAGACTTGTAGTGATCCTCCTGTTTTCAGCCTCCCAAGTGCTGGGATTATAGGTGCATGCCACCACGCCCAGTCTCTGTCACCTGATCAGTGTGCCCTGGGGGCAGGGCCAGCATGGCAGGGTATGCCAAGGTTAGAACCCGGTCCCTGCTTCTGCCTAAGCAGGTGCTTTAGTTCACAGAGCTATCTGGCCAGCCCCTCTCTCCTCTTCTCGTCTCCCTCTCTCCTGAACCTCACATTCCCACAATCTCACACACACCTTGGGTTGTGAGTCTCCCATTTCTGAAAATCAGCTGCCCAGGCCACCCTCGAGGTCCCACCTCACTGTCCCCTCATGTGGAGCCCACTCCTTGCCCAATGCGCTCCCTGCTGCTGTCTCCAGTTCCCAGTGAAGACAAGGCTTTCCCCACCTTGTCTTGGGGCTGGCACTCTGGACAGCACCATGCCCGCGCCTCCAAAGCCGCTGCTAAGACCTCGGTAACCACCTGGACACACCGTGAGTCGAGGCTAAGGGGAGGTGGCACACAGAACCCCCCAAACCCTGGTCACACAAGTGATATCAGACAGACCATGGCCCTCCTGACAGCTCACAGTGACAGCCCACCTCCTACAGGCATCGCGTCCATGCTGGTGTCATTCACGGTTGGCCTGTACTACAACACCATCATCGCCTGGGTCATGTGGTACTTCTTCAACTCCTTCCAGGAGCCTTTGCCGTGGAGTGAGTGTCCACTGAACCAGAACCAGACAGGTGAGCCCTCTGCCTCTGCACTGTCCCCATCCCTATCCCCAATGCAGCCTGACTAGCAGTCACAACTTGTGAAAGTGTCACCCAGCACTCTCTTAAGGTCAGGCTGCTCACAGCCCAGGGCTGGAAAACTTCAGAGCTCCTTCTGGGCCACAGGGCAGTGACAGGCTTCGCCACACTAGGAGAGGCCGTGAACATGGTGACTTCCAGGCCCCATGCCTGGGGCCAGATGAGGGCCTCATCTTTCCCTGGGGATGCCTGGGAAAGAAGGAGCTATGACTGAGACACTCTGGACCCATGTCCCCAACCCTGGGCCCTCCCACTGGGAGAGAGAGTCACAGGCTCAGTTCCCAGTGCTCCACACACTACAGAAGGGCACAAGTGGCCTACTTGGTGACCTCTGGTCTGACAAGCATAAGCAGCTGCAGGTCGTGCTATGCAAATCCTCTGTGTGATGGCCGGAGGAGGCACAATCGAGAGATGGTAGATGTTCCCCAGATACTCCTCCCTGTACACTGGGCAGAGTCTCCCCCCAGGGGGGATCAGAGTGATTCCTGTAGCCCCAAGAAGCCCAGGAGCAACAGGCTGTGCAGCTGGGCTGCACGGGTCTGAGCCCAGCCAGGAAGCCCTGCAGATCCACGGCCCCTGCACTGCCAAGCAACCTCCCTGGGACATTGTCCTTCGCAGGAGCCAGAAGCAGCAGCAGGAAGGTCTCAAGGCCTGGGGCATACAGCTCAGTTAGAATAGCATCTTGTAGCCCACAGCATGCATAAGCATGTGTGAACACACATGTGCGAGTGCACCAGTGCATGTGTGTGTAAGTGTGCAGATGCACCCACGTGAGCCAGTGTGTGCGTGAGCATGCATGGCTGTGCTTGTGTCCATGAGTGTGCGAGCATGTGGGTGCATCCACGCAGGGGTGCATTGCATGCGTGTGTGTGCAAGTGGGCAGGCTGTGCTCATGTGCGCCTTGTGCCTGGGCTGGCTGCTGTTTCTGTAGTTTGGGGCCAGAGCTGCCTCTCCACGTGGACCCTCACCCTGAACCCTGAAGCTTGTGCTTGGCCACCTCCACAGGCTATGTAGACGAATGTGCCAGGAGCTCGCCCGTGGACTACTTCTGGTACAGGGAGACCCTCAACATCTCTACCTCCATTGATGAGTCGGGCTCCATCCAGTGGTGGATCCTGCTCTGCCTCACCTGTGCGTGGAGCGTCCTGTATGTGTGCACCATACGTGGCATTGAGACCACTGGGAAGGTACGGGGCAAGCTGCCTGCTCTGCTTGGTCCTTGGGACTTTGATCCCAGGGCTGCCGTGCCCTCTGTCAGGACTGCTGAATGGCTCAGTTGGAGGCCCAGGGATTTTGTGCAGCAGGACAGCTCCCAAACATACTCCAAAAGCTCATGCGGCCCTAAACATCTGTCAAGTTGAGAGAGTCAAATAGTGGTGACACAGGAAAAAATGGAGAGTGGGTTGTCCCTGTGCTGGAACCTGGACCCTGTCCTGAGGTCCAGCCTCTGCCCACCCTGGTCACCCCCATGTTCTGACCCTGCTGCCTCATAGGCTGTCTACGTCACCTCCACGCTGCCCTATGTTGTGCTGACCATCTTCCTCATCCGCGGCTTGACTCTGAAGGGCTCTGCCAGTGGCATCGTCTTCCTGTTCACACCCAACGTGAGTCCCTGTATGCAACATGGCTGTGCACATGTGGGAGAGGCAGCGGTGGGGCAGGGTCTTTCTTCTGTGCCCCAACTTCTACACCAGCTCCCAGGGACAGATGGAACCAGTCTGTTGCCATGTAGGCCAGTCCCACGCTGGGGCAGGCCCTGAGAGACACTTGTCCATGATATTCGTGCTGTGTGCTATGTGGGCACTTGTCAGCCTGACTTCACGCTCTGTGTGCAAGGAGCCACCGCCAGGGCAGGAACCAGCTGCCACCTGCCCTCCCCAACCGACCTGAAGCTCAGGTCCCTCTCTGGGCACCCCTCCTTGGCCTTGGTGGCTCCGGCCCACACAGTGTGCAGCTGAGGTCTCTGTTGACACAGATTGAGGAGCTGGCCAACCCGGTGACCTGGCTGGACGCAGGCGCCCAGGTCTTCTACTCCTTCTCACTGGCCTTTGGGGGCCTCATCTCCTTCTCCAGCTACAACTCTGTGCAGTGAGTCCTGGGGATGGGAGGGTCCTCAGGTGCAGGGAGCTGTGCCTCAGTTTCCCCAGGTGTGAGGATGAGTGGGAAAAGATGCCAACACCAGGCAGCATGGTCCCTCCTAGAGGGTGTAGCGTCTCTGCTGGGGGCCGTGTGCACACAGCACACAAAGGGCAGGGTGGTTCTTGGGGAGCCTCCTCCAGGGTGCCCTGCCAGGCCCAGTCTCCACACCTTCCCACGAGCAGCTCACCACGAGTACCTCAGTACCTGGTATGTGGGGGCCCTGAAGCCTCCAAAAACTCAAGTAGGGTCCTGTAGGCTGTGCCTCCACTAGACTCGCCTGGACAGGACCCCGTGTGATGAGCCAAGGGGGCTCCAGGAGGCACACAGGCAGCGTTCCCTGTCTTGCACAAACATTTCTGCAGCACCTAGTGTGTATCAGGCATCCTCACAGCGTCAGGAAAACAAATCCCCACTGCGTTGGGGCCGGGGAGATGGCTCAGTAGGATAAGCGTTTGACCGGCAAACGCAAGGATCTGAGTTCAATCCCCTGTTCCAAAAAAAAAAAAAAAAAAAGCCCCACTGTGGATGGCAGCCTCCTGGTGGGAGGGAATGCAGAGGCCTGGGAGAAGAAAGAGGTGGGCCTGGACTGCAGAAGGGGTGGAGGTGGAGAGGGATGTGCCTTGCCTGCAAGGGCCCATAGGATCCCCGGTTAGCAGGAGGTATGCTGGGCTGAGGCCACTGCTGGTGGGTAGGAGCAGCCTGGTGGTGTAGGTAGATTCTGCACTTGTGCTGAGAGCTGGGCTGGGCAAAGGCACAGGGTGTGGCCTGAGGAGGCGTGGCCTGGTAGGTCAGTCCCCCAGAGGCCAGAAGTGCCCTAAAAAACCATGGTAGACCTGGTCTGAGAGTGGCTATGGGCGTGGCAGGAGGGTCAGGCAGGGGTGCTGCTTGGTAGGCGAGTGGCCAGAACTGTCCAAAGCAGGAGTTGGCCGACTGCAGAGTGCTCAGGTCTTGCTGTCCCCAGACCTCAGTCCCAGTCCCTGAGGCCATGGGGAAAGTGCAGAAAGGGCACCCTTGAGGTGTCACTGGAAGATGGGCCCAGGCAGAACCATCACGGGTGTTTCACAACAGCTTTACACTTGCATGTGACCCTGGTCACAGAGATTCTCCCTGCAGCAGGTGACGTACTCTCAGGCCTCGCCCCTGCCCTGCTCTGCCTTCTGTGCACATTGGGTCCTGGACACTGTAACGGGTACATGTCTTGCGTCTCTCAAGGCCACTGGGTCCTTCACTGCATGTCACTGCTTCCCTCCTCTCTGCTGATGGTGTGCTCTACGTAGACAGCTGTCCTCTCCCGGTTACTTGGCTGCTGGGCATGCCAAGTGGTCGTGTTTTTGCTCTGGGCTGTCCTGATTGGTGCTGTGGGAGCTGTGGGTGTTCATTTAGACACAAGCATGGGCTGCTGACCTGGTCACCCCAGGTCAATTGCTGGAGGACCTGCGGGTGTCCACAAGGCTGTAGCACTCCAGCCCCCTGGCCTGCTCCCACGACTGTTGGAAGTTCTTGGAGTAGCCAGCCCAGCAGTGTGGGGAGGCATCCCACTGCCCCTTGACCTGACCCTTCTGATGGCTCTGGGCCCTACTCCTCCTGGCCTCGCCCACCGAGTGTGGGGGTTAAGCTGCTCTCGGAGCTTGCCATAGCTGACACCTGCGGCAAGAGCACACAGGAGACCTGGGGTGTGTGAGCTGGGGCATCCTGGGGTCCTCTAGGCGTACTGTCTATCTTGGCTCACTGACAGCAGGTGACAGCTGCTGTCTGTGTCCTGGGCTTTCTGAGGGTCTCCAGAGCCACCATATGCTGAAATGTGCAGAGGGGCAAGAACAAGGGTGCCTGCTAAGAGTCTGGGTCAGGGCTGGTCCCTCAGCCAGCTGATGCTCAGTGCCACTTGGGTAGGGGAGGTCAGAGAGCTCTGGTCCCCATGTCACCAAAGGGCTCAGGTTCTTGCTTGCTTCTCTGCCAGGCATAGGCCTGGTGCTGGGCTTAGACCCAGTGGAGGCGCTGCCCATGCCCTGAGTCTGGGTAGGGACACAGCATGCTCCCTGGGGACAGCATGGGGGACCACGATGACATCGCTCTTGTCCACAGCAACAACTGTGAGATGGATTCGGTGATTGTGTCCATCATCAACGGCTTCACATCCGTGTTTGCAGCCACTGTGGTGTATTCCATCATCGGCTTCCGCGCCACTGAGCGCTATGATGACTGCTTCAGCCAGTGAGTTGTGCTCCGCACCAGACCACCGGCCCACCCCTCCCGGGCCCCTCACTCTGGCACCCTCACTGGGCCAGACCCAGTCCACCCATGAGGCCTGCCCATCTACCAGGCCCTGTCAGCTCTGTCCTCCCTCTAGGAACATCCTGACACTCATCAATGGCTTTGACCTGCCGGAGGGCAATGTGACACAGGAGAACTTCGCAGCCATGCAGCAGTGGCTCAATGCCACCAACCCGGACATCTATGCAGGGCTCAAGTTCCAGACCTGTGACCTGAACTCCTTTCTGTCTGAGGTAGGTAGCTGCTGTGGGTACAGCCTGCGAGGGGTGCAGGTGCTTCAAACTATGCAAGAGGGTGGTCTGCCCTTGCCCCCACACTGACCACCCCACCAGGACCACCAGCTCTCTGCCACGGATCCCATTGTGCATGAGTCATGCAGTTTCTTCCATTAAAGTGGAGAGAATTTTTAATCCTGGTTCTGAACATACTAGATAGTCAAGCCAGGTGTGGACTGGTGACTCTCAGCCCTTGGGGTACCAGGAAAAGCCAGGAACTGCCGTTGTAGTAACTGAAATTTTGAGCACCATGTTAATGCATATCGTGACCTGTTTTTGGTTTTGTTCATTTGCTTTTTGCTGTACTGGGGGTTGAATATAGGACCTTAGCATTGAGCTATATTCCCAGAACTTTTTAAAATTTTGAGACAAGAAAAATAAAAACAATAAAATTTTGAGACAAGATCTTGCTAAATTGCTAAGTTGCTAAGGCTGGGCTCAAACTTGTAATCCTCCTGCTTCAGCCTCCCAGAGCTCTGGGATGATGGGTGTATTGCACTGCACTGAGGTTCTGGAATACAGGCCAATGAAGTTGAACCTTGCAGTTCGTTGGTCAGGAGCCTCCTGTATTTTGGAAGGTGGTGATCCTTGCAGCTTGACTCTGTATCTGTCTGTGGTGGCCCTGGAGAAATTGCTTTGCCAGTAATGAAAGACTGGCAGTGTGTCGGGTGTGACGGAGCAGAGGGACGCTGAGGCTCTCGGCCTAGGAGTGCCCGCTGACCCCAGAGGACAGATGGAGATGGACACCAGTCCTGCTGGCCCCTGGGCCAGGGCAGTGCTGGCTTGATGAGCACACACCCACCCACCCCACGACCACCTGGGCCTGGAGTCCTTCGGGGTCTGTCTTGGGGATGCCCTCAGGGTCTCTTTTGTATCTGAGAGCTGGGCCGTGTGAGGACAGCTGGGGACCTGCAGTAACAAGTCAGTCTCAGCGGCTGGGGCTCTGAGAGAAGCTGAGCCATGGGTCCCACTCGCTACTCAGCTTTATAAAAGGTGCTTTGGGGGCTGGGTGTGGTGGCTCATACCTGTAATCCCAGCACTCGGAGGCTGAGGCAGGAAGATCACTGCAAGTTTGAGACCAGCCTGGGAACCTGGGCTACGAAGTGAGCTCAAGGCCAGCCTGAACTGCATAGGGAGATCCTGTCTCAGAAAGTCAAATAAATAAATAAAATGTGCTTTGGGACTAAATCAAGATCTACTTAGGCTGGGCATAGCGGCACACCCTTATAATCCCAGCACTCAAGAGACCGAGGCAGAGGG